ATGGCTATAGGCGTGGATTTTTTTAATAATATTTTTCACCAACCATCATGGCTATAGGCGTGGATTTTTTTTTTTCACCAACCATAATATTTTTTTAATAATATTTTTCACCAACCATCATGGCTATAGGCGTGGATTTTTTTAATAATATTTTTCACCAACCATCATGGCTATAGGCGTGGATTTTTTTAATAATATTTTTCACCAACCATCATGGCTATAGGCGTGGATTTTTTTAATAATATTTTTCACCAACCATCATGGCTATAGGCGTGGATTTTTTTAATAATATTTTTCACCAACCATCATGGCTATAGGCGTGGATTTTTTTAATAATATTTTTCACCAACCATCATGGCTATAGGCGTGGATTTTTTTAATAATATTTTTCACCAACCATCATGGCTATAGGCGTGGATTTTTTTAATAATATTTTTCACCAACCATCATGGCTATAGGCGTGGATTTTTTTAATAATATTTTTCACCAACCATCATGGCTATAGGCGTGGATTTTTTTAATAATATTTTTCACCAACCATCATGGCTATAGGCGTGGATTTTTTTAATAATATTTTTCACCAACCATCATGGCTATAGGCGTGGATTTTTTACAAAATATTTTTCTCCCACCATCATGGCTATAGGCGTGAAGTTTTTAAAGAATATTTTTCACCCACCATCATGGCTATAGGCGTGCCACCTTTAAGTATACCGATCGTCATATCTCGACTAGCTGAGTCGATCTAGACATGTGTGTCCGTCCGTCTGTCCATTATAATTTGTAAACACGATACAGGCCACAGTTATGGACCAATCCTTACGAAATTTTGCATGTAGGATGGGTTCTGGCCAATGAAGACCCCTATTGTTTTTAGGAAAAATCGGTTAATATTTAGGGACTGAAATGGACCAAATACTAAATTTTTGTCGATTTTTCTGGTCGCTCCAGAGGCCGCAATAATGGCTCGAACATCTTGAAATTTTGCATGGAGAAGGGGATCGGGCCAAAGAATAAACATGCCTGTTTTGATAAAGATCGGTCAATATTTAGCGGGTCAAATTGACCCTGACTTTTGTGTGAAAAATTACAAAATTTGTATTCTATAGCGTATATATTTGTCCCTGAAGAACATAGACCCGAGAAGTTTATATTATATCCAAGAGGAGTGGTTGACCTTTAAATTAGTACCAATTATATTGTTGTATGTGCTCGGATGTGGGAGTTACTCCCAAATATTAACATTTATCTCCGTATTCGTAAATTATTTAGTAACCCATTGCCATACTGGAGGGCGGAAATATAGCGCTGATCGCTTTGAAATGTTCCATGAGGTTCCAGTTATGGTCAAGGACAACGCCTATAATTTTCGTTGATGATCAAATAATAATTTTGGAATGAAGTGGACCGAAGACTTAATTTTTTGTGTTATTTTCGAGTCGATCTATAGACCACAAATGAAAGCCGAACATCACAACACAACCCACGGTGAAGGGAATCTGGACATAGCTGTACTGAATAATCGAAATATTCGGAAAATATGTCAGTGTGAGGAAGAGGTGCTGTTTACCTCTAATCGGGCAAGAGGGTGCAAATATCACGAAATATTGCCCAGGGTCGGAATAAACATCCACAGAAAATTTGAGTTCCGTGGTAGTTGTGTAGGGTATCGTATGGTCGGCCCCGTCCGACTATACTGCTCCGCTCACTGGTTTATTTATTTATATTTGTTTAATATTGTGTAGCCAATAAATCTAATATTGACATTAAAACAAATTCAACACCACATGTTCAGTACACGTGTATAAACTAAGCAATACGCTTGGCTCAGATCCACGTGTTTGTTTTGTGAACAATGGTCACCCAGTGGTCTCAGAATCCTTTAAATCTTCGTGTGCGTCACTGCGAAAATATTTCATTCCAATATGAATAGAAAAAGTTCTTATAATTCATATTCAGACCCATGTTATGCATGTGGCAGCGGTTTCCTGTTGTTATGAAACACAACAACAAACGACGACAAACATATGTCCGTGTGCCAAATTCAATACATTTTGATATATATTTTTTATTATTAACAATTTCAATAGGGGGCAGGATTCCAAGAAAATTTTGTTGTTTTGTAACAATAAAGAATGAATGGGGGAAAGAATGTTTGCAGGAAAAGGATTTAGTATAGTAACCAAATATGCAGAGTAATCAAAAAGCCAATTTTAAAATAAATCCTACGGTCACTTATACCTATGCGGGAGTAGGTTATCCTCGGTTAAGAAACTATTAAAAATTTGATACGAAACATTTGATTTATTTATTTTTTATTCTATGTTTCAGGTCTATCGGATGCCCTGGCCAAAGGTTTGCTAAGTGATCAACACACAACTGGTGCTAGAATCTTGGCCCTCAATATTACAAATGGTTCCGTGCAGTCGTATGTGTGGTGGATCAAAAAGAATCATGACAAAAACGGTGAACTGCAGCGGTTCGAAGAAGAAGGTCTACAAGTTGCCAAGAAGCCCTCATCTATGTATCCATGGTAAGTAGAACAGATTTCCCTAAAAAACAAAAAATATTTCAAAAATTTCATATCCAATATCCAACGACTTCATGGACCATGATGAAATATTCTTTAAAAATCCACGCCTTGTGGTCTGTGGACCCTTTTCAAAATATTGTTTAAAAATCCACGCCTTGTGGTCTGTGGATCCTTGTAAAAATATTGTTTAAAAATCCACGCCTTGTGGTCTGTGGATCCTTGTAAAAATATTCTTTAAAAATCCACGCCTTGTGGTCTATGGATCCTTGGTCTATGGATGCTTGTAAAAATACTCTTCAAAAATCCACGCCTTGTGGTCTGTGGATCCTTGTAAAAATATTCTTTAAAAATCCACGCCTTGTGGTCTATGGATGCTTGTAAAAATACTCTTCAAAAATCCACGCCTTGTGGTCTGTGGATCCTTGTAAAAATATTCTTTAAAAATCCACGCCTTGTGGTCTATGGATCCTTGGTCTATGGATGCTTGTATAAATACTCTTCAAAAATCCACGCCTCGTGGTCTGTGGATCCTTGTAAAAATATTCTTTAAAAATCCACGCCTTGTGGTCTATGGATCCTTGGTCTATGGATGCTTGTAAAAATACTCTTCAAATATCCACGCCTTTTGGTCTATGGACCCTTGTAAAAATATTCTTTAAAAATCCACGCCTTGTTGTCTATGGATCCTTGGTCTATGGATCCTTGTAAAAATATTCTTCAAAAATCCACGCCTTTTGGTCTATGGACCCTTGTAAAAATATTCTTCAAAAATCCACGCCTTTTGGTCTATGGACCCTTGTAAAAAAATTCTTTAAAAATCCACGCCTTGTGGTCTACGGATCCTTGGTCTATGGATCCTTGTAAAAATATTGTTCAAAAATCCACGCCTTGTGGTCTATGGATCCTTGTAAAAATATTGTTTAAAAATCCACGCCTTGTGGTCTACGGATCCTTGGTCTATGGATCCTTGTAAAAATATTGTTTAAAAATCCACGCCTTGTGGTCTATGGATCCTTGTAAAAATATTGTTTAAAAATCCACACATTGTGGTCTGTGAATACTTGTAAAAATATTGTTTAAAAATCCACTCCTTGTGGTTTGTGGATCCTTGTAAAAATATTGTTTAAAAATCCACGCCTTGTGGTCTGTGGATCCTTGTAAAAATATTGTTTAAAAATCCACGCCTTGTGGTCTGTGGATGCTTGTAAAAATATTCTTAAAAAATCCACGCCTTGTGGTCTGTGGATCCTTGTAAAAATATTGTTTAAAAATCCACGCCTTGTGGTCTGTGGATCCTTGTAAAAATATTGTTTAAAAATCCACGCCTTGTGGTCTGTGGATGCTTGTAAAAATATTCTTAAAAAATCCACGCCTTGTGGTCTGTGGATCCTTGTAAAAATATTGTTTAAAAATCCACGTCTTGTGGTCTGCGGATCATTGTAAAAATATTGTTTAAAAATCCACGCCTTTTGGTCTATGAACCCTTGTAAAAATATTCTTCAAAAATCCACGCCTTTTGGTCTATGAACCCTTGTAAAAATATTCTTCAAAAATCCACGCCTTTTGGTCTATGGACCCTTGTAAAAATATTCATAAAAAATCCACGCCTTTTGCCTATGGACCCTTGTAAAAATATTCTTCAAAAATCTATGGACCCTTGTAAAAATATTCTTCAAAAATCCACGCCTTTTGTTCTATGGACCCTTGTAAAAATATTCTTCAAAAATCCACGCCTTTTGGTCTATGGACCCTTGTAAAAATATTCTTCAAAAATCCACGCCTTTTGGTCTATGGACCCTTGTAAAAATATTCTTCAAAAATCCACGCCTTTTGGTCTATGGACCCTTGTAAAAATATTCTTCAAAAATCCACGCCTTTTGGTCTATGGACCCTTGTAAAAATATTCTTCAAAAATCCACGCCTTTTGGTCTATGGACCCTTGTAAAAATATTCTTCAAAAATCCACGCCTTTTGGTCTATGGACCCTTGTAAAAATATTCTTCAAAAATCCTCGCCTTTTGGTCTATGGACCCTTGTAAAAATATTCTTCAAAAATCCACGCCTTTTGGTCTATGGACCCTTGTAAAAATATTCTTCAAAAATCCACGCCTTTTGGTCTATGGACCCTTGTAAAAATATTCTTCAAAAATCCACGCCTTTTGGTCTATGGACCCTTGTAAAAATATTCTTCAAAAATCCACGCCTTTTGGTCTATGGACCCTTGTAAAAATATTCTTCAAAAATCCACGCCTTTTGGTCTATGGACCCTTGTAAAAATATTCTTCAAAAATCCACGCCTTTTGGTCTATGGATGCTTGTAAAAGTATTCTTTGAAAATCCACGCCTTTTGGTCTATGGATGCTTGTAAAAGTATTCTTTGAAAATCCACGCCTTTTGGTCTGTGGATCCTTTGTAAAAATATTCTTTAAAAATCCACGCCTTTTGGTCTGTGGATCCTTTGTAAAAATATTTTTTAAAAATCCACGCCTTTTGGTCTGTGGATCCTTTGTAAAAATATTCTTTGAAAATCAACGCCTGTTGTTATGTGGACCCTTGTAAAAATATTCTTCAAAAATCCACGCCTTTTGGCCTATGGACCCTTGTAAAAATATTCTTCAAAAATCCACGCCTTTTGGTCTATGGATCCTTGTAAAAGTATTCTTTGAACATCCACGCCTTTTGGTCTGTGGATCCTTTGTAAAAATATTCTTTAAAAATCCACGCCTTTTGGTCTGTGGATCCTTTGTAAAAATATTCTTTAAAAATCCACGCCTTTTGGTCTGTGGATCCTTTGTAAAAATATTCTTTGAAAATCAACGCCTGTTGTTATGTGGACCCTTGTAAAAATATTCTTCAAAAATCCACGCCTTTTGCCTATGGACCCTTGTAAAAATATTCTTGAAAAATCTATGGACCCTTGTAAAAATATTCTTCAAAAATCCACGCCTTTTGGTCTATGGACCCTTGTAAAAATATTCTTCAAAAATCCACGCCTTTTGGTCTATGGACCCTTGTAAAAATATTCTTCAAAAATCCACGCCTTTTGGTCTATGGACCCTTGTAAAAATATTCTTCAAAAATCCACGCCTTTTGTTCTATGGACCCTTGTAAAAATATTCTTCTAAAATCCACGCCTTTTGGCCTATGGACCCTTGTAAAAATATTCTTCAAAAATCCACGCCTTTTGGTCTATGGATCCTTGTAAAAATATTCTTCAAAAATCCACGCCTTTTGGTCTATGGACTCTTGTAAAAATATTCTTCAAAAATCCACGCCTTTTGGTCTATGGACCTTTGTAAAAATTTTCTTTGAAAATCCACGTCTTTTGTTCTGTGGATCCTTGTAAAAATTTTCTTTAAAAATCCACGCCTTTTGTTCTGTGGATTCTTCTAAAAATATTCTTTAAAAATCCACGCCTTTCGTTGTGTGGATCCTTGTAAAAATATTCTTTAAAACGCCTATTGTTGTATGAAACCTTGAAAAAATACTCTTTAAAAATCCACGTTGTTGTTATTTTAGACCTTTATTAATTATTTGTATTTTTTATTTTTTTCAGGTTCGCCGATGAAAGCTCTTCCCCAACATTACGTTCACCGAAATTTGCACCCAGCCCACCGAATATCTACTACAAAGGCTGGTGGACATATCCATATTTTTCGTGCTCTCTCAGCAAATGGATTTTGTCGTATAGCATTGCCATACCACCGAACGGCAGGCATGGTCTGCGAGGTTTCGTTAGCATCGACATCGATGTCACCGGTTTGCGTGTCAATCAATGCGAAGCACCGGTGGCCTATCGATTCAATTATCAACAGATACAGACACGGCGTCTTCATCTGGTCGACACGAGCGCCCAGTCAACAGAATTTATAAATGATATTCAAGCGTTTCATAAGTCGCATAAATGTCATCGTGACACAATGGTGGTAAGTGATGAGCAGACGAGGACAGACACGGGAAGCGACAGTGAGGTTTCGGGTGCTAAAATTTTCTGCTACATTAACAATTTTTCATAGATGAAGGAGAAATAGGAGGATAGCGGAAAGAGAGGTTGGAATTTTGGGATTTTTGGTAGAAAGGAAAAGTTTGCACAGTGGGGGTGATATTGTCACTTATGTGACACGTGGACCGAAATATCTATTTTTCAATACCAAACATCCTGCAAGTAGTAGCAAAACATATGCAACATTTCACAACTCTGTACTAAAAATTGAAAACTATTCGGACAGAGGGGCAAGGCAAAATCGAAAAAGAATTTTATTCTGATAATCTTGTGGAAGCAGAAATATATATATATATATATATATATACACTTTGACCTTTCTAATCACATTTTCTACTCTCTTTTCTTCCCTTCTCTCACCCTCGAATTTTTCCAACTATTTCGGCAAACAAAAAAAACTCTAAAATAAACCCAACAACAACTACAATAAAAAAGTGTGATTATCGTTTACCCACCTCGGAATCACCGACAATAACAACAAGTAAAATACTGGCAACACCCAACACTTGGTCACGTGGTGCCTATCAATGCCTGTGCAAGCGCGGCTACTATTCGATACGACATCCAGATGGCTTTAATGGCACCATTATGGAAATTGCTTGGAAAGAACATCAGGATAATATTAGCAATTACTATGCCGAAGTGTTCACTTGTCTGAAGTGTGCACCGGGCTGTGAATCGTGTACAGGACCCGAACCATGTTTGGCCGATTACAATTGGCCTTTTAGGTGAGTACGTGAACGTGATGGCATGCAACATCTTCGAACTTACCTTGTGGTTTGTAAGATGTTGTCGATGAAGAAGAAGGAGGGGTGGGAATGGTGTGATAATAAAAATCTACTTTAACGGTTATTTTTTCAAAATTTCTTTTATCTCATTTTTTTGCAGAATATCATTACTAACCATTTCGGTGGCATGTGCAATTGGTTGCTGCATTTTGGCCGGATATCTGTTTCATCACAGGAAGATGAAGGTCTTCAAAGTGGCCAGTCCGATATTTTTGCTAATCACCCTGATTGGATGTTCAATTATGTATTTGGAGGTAAGTATTGGGAATTAAAGGTGTGGTATTGTTTGTAAATGCCTTGTTAACCTCGAAGTGAGGCTCCAGCGAAATTCTCATGCAGTTAATGTCGTTGGTCAGCTAAGTACTTCGCTTTGTTACAAGAGACATTTGGGTATGAACGTTTTTTTGTATAGAAGCAATAGCTTCTGGGGAGAATATCCCAACAAAAAACTAAGGGAACTGATGAGGATCAGTGGCGTGATCCGAAACTATAGTCTTCCCTGCCTTACCCCTCGGCAAACAATGCCATACATTCCCCACTAATAAATAGTTGTTTTTTAGAAAAACAACAAGCTGGGATTCAGCCTGACTATTTTGCAAACACAAAATACAAACGGTATCCCAAATAAACCGCCAACACTACTGAAATTACTAAAAACAGTTAAAAACTTACACGCCTTTTGGATCCTTGTAAAAATATTCTATAAAAATCCACGCCTTTTGGTCTGTGGATCCTTTGTAAAAATATTCTATAAAAATCCGCGCCTTTTGGTCTGTGGATCCTTTGTAAAAATATTCTATAAAAATCCACGCCTTGTGGTCAATGGATCCTTGTAAAAATATTCTATAAAAATCCACGCCTTGTGGTCAATGGAT